GGAGACAAGCCAGCCGGGAACCCGACCAGACCATCCAGCACCAAGGCGACCATTCTTTAAAGCATTGAGAACCCCTAACAGTAAACTGTTTGGGGAAAAAGAAAAATGTTCCATCATCAATCATTAATTACATTCATGATCGATGGAGCTAATGCAGGGGTGGAAGGGAGCTTGAGTGGCAAAAGACTCTTTGTTTCTTTGTTGGCAAAACACAACAACATAGCGCACCTGCTCTAAGAGGAACGACATTGGCGCTGCTTCATACAAGAGTCGAAGTTTCCCATCCTGAAAACTGCACTTCCAACACCTATATCTACAACGGTGACATGGGACTTCGCAGGGCGGGTGCACTGGCACGCCAAACACTCGAACAACTCAGAATACTACTGTTGTTCTGAAACCCATGTCAACTCAGTGCTTGCCACTGTCAGGCGCTCCACCTGTCCAAAAAGTGTGTCCTTGTTCTTCGTATCTGCCGGGTACGCAAAAAGGCCACCGTAGAGTAGCGTGCGATGGACGTCTCCCACCATTGACCTTAGAGGAAACTGGAGAGTTTCGCACTTTCTCTTGCTCTGCGCTACAAGCACCTTGCGTTGTTCAAGCTTCACAAAATGTTTCCATTGTGCAGAGGGATCATGTTTTTTGAGCCATCGACACTAAACTAAACTTCTCCCCGCTCGAAACGCGCTTTTTAATTTACCTTTTTGGAGGCTTTGGTGCGGTGTTGTCGTTGGACCATGTGCATCTGCATCATCATCATCATCATCGTCATCGTCATCGTCATCGTCATCATCATCATCATCATGATCATCATCGTCATTTATATTGTAACTTGTAACTAGCATTTATGTCAATCAGCACTTCATTCACTGTCGTTCACAACAACACAGCATGGACGTTTGAGCAAACTCGCATTGGAATCTACAGCGGGGGTGAAGTGGAGAAAGGGCCAGGGGTGAACGGTTAATTGCAGTCTGTTCCCATGCTTGTTTTGTGAATGAAACCGATAGGAATTGAAAAGGATGCACCACCACCACCCCACCACAAGCAGCATCAGCATCATCACTCTTTCCCAACGCTCTCCCGCCAGGAAAATTGCGTGGACCTGGGCCTTTCCACTTGTGGTCGGTCCTGCGCACCCCGTAGGCCCTTTAAGCCAGGGCATCAACAGCATGTCCAACTGCAGGGTTCAGTGGCTCAAGCACGCTTGTTTTGCCCACACAACATGCAACGCATTCACAATCTTCAAAATGTCCAGCAAAGTCTGTGCAAAACTATGGCAAACATGCGCATGGCATGTTTGGCTCTTGCTGCAGAACGTTTTCATGTTTCAGAGCCAGCCCGCAGGTCCGCATAAGTGGGCAGGAATATATACTGCAAACTTTTCTCTTGATCAAAAAGGGTTTCAGTCCAGTCAACTACACAGAAAGTGAAATGCTAATGATGTCATGTACATACTCTGTAGTCTGCACTGAAAATGCTACACACTCCTTCTTGGTAGTGTGAACGATCGGACTGCTACTTTGAGCTCACTCTGCCACTATAGTCAGTTTTTTTCATCATTTCTTTGCAGGCATTCATTTTTCTCTAGGGAACGGTGTTCCCAGAGATTCTTGGTCTATCTGGGTCGTCTCTTCTCGTAGCTGCACATTCTAGCAGCTCTTGATATTTCCCCATTTCCTTTTCAACTTGGCCTGCTGCCTCTTGTAATCCTCTTCCCGTAAGGTTCCAATGCCTCTCATGAAGCTGTTGAGGCTTTCCTTCCAGTCGACCACACATTTGGCTTGCCTGCTCGACCTCATCCTCTTCTCGGATTGATAGCTCTCTATTTCCTGCTCTAAACATTTGTTCAGTGGTCCTTCTGATGGGTATCTTCTTAGCTGCCTTCTGGCTGTTCAGTGGTCCTGCGTTCATCTCTCCAAGTACATCAAAACTGATGACTGTGTGAAGATCTGGTACTTTTTGCTCAACAAAGCCTCCATTGAGAATCAACCCACAATAAATTTTCTTGGCATAGCTGTGCAAAATGGTAACCCTCTCTTCATGGTCTTCCGTCTCTTCCATGTCTAGCTCAGTGTTTCTAACTTCGACTTCTCACGCTTCTGACCTGAAACGAGCTCTTCCAATCCACACTGGGTGTTTTCTCTCTCTTTCAAGTTCTGTAACCATTAGCTGCAAAGCCCTCCAATCTACCATTCTCGCAATCATCTTGGCAATCTTGTTGACCTTCCCTGCAAAGGTCTTTTTCTCTTCATACACCTTTCTCTCACGCTCTCCTACTCGTCTGCTCTTCACTGACACTGTGCCAATACCCAATGAGGTTCATCGAGTATTTAGTTCTTTGTCCTCCCAGTGGCTTTGTGATGATGTCTGCCATGTTGCTATCTGCTGGTACTTGTACCATCTTGACGTCTTTCCTGCTCTGAATCCATAGCAACTTTCCATCCAAACGTCTCACTTGTCCAACTCCTCTCTTCATCACAAGTTGGCGTGCACTTGAAGAATCTGTGAAGATGGAATGGTCCACCTTTGCCCCAAGAGCAAACTCAAGAACTGAGCGACTGTAGACTTCATCTCACGCAGAACAAACTATTGCGTGCATCTCTGCTTCACACGAACAATGGACAACTGCTCAATGCGTGGAATCCTCCTGGCGTTGACTTTATGTGGCTCTTGTTTCCACTCCAATCTGAATCTGAAAATGTCTCCAAGCACCAATAGCTTCTCCTTTCTTGACATAGCCTTCTCCTGTTTCTGGAAATTCAACTACTAGACAATAGTCTATAGCCTTCTTCAAGTATCCTAAGAGCTTCTTCAAGTGACAAAATGACATAGCTGTTGGATTTGACATTCTTGGAGCCAATTCCTACATTGTGAACGCTACGTCATACGTCTCTTGAGGCAAGTAGATACCTGATCCAACAATGCTTCTGAGTATAGGCTAATCTTCTCTTGGTCGTGTAAGACTCCTGATTTGTCTTCCATCTGAATTGAGTTGCCTGATGGTAACTGCTGAAATTTGATCTCCCCAATCTTCTCATCATAGGCTTTCAGCGTCTGCAGGGTGTAGTTACCTGGCTGGATCCATAGTCCATCTTTCTCAAGTTTGCACTTTCTCCTCACTTGAACCTTTGGAAGAAAGATTCCATTGATGTATCTTGAATCATAGGACCGGATAACCCCACATGTTAGCAACTTAGCAAGAGGGAATGTCTGCGTAGGTGGTTGGTGACAATTGGTGGGTGGCAATTGGTTAGTGTGACAACTGATTGATGACAATTGGTTGAAGGCCATGTTATTTAAAAACAGGCCCTCAAAAATAACCCTTTCAGAAGGGCAGCGACCCACCAGCGCCGGCCAGCACTGTTTGCGAAAGAAGAATCCTTCGTCAACTCTGTTATATTCACCAAGACTTTGTCTACATCCATTAGGCTCAATTGTAATTCACATTCATGGTCTTCATCCTTCTTTTCTTCTTCTTTCTGACCTTCTACCTCCTTCTCCGGTGGAGTTGGGGTAATCTTTTTCGATTGCCTGCTCCACTTCTTTCTTTCTGTCTTTCTTTGCGTTCTTCTTTTTTCTGTTTTCTCTATTCTTTTATGTTCTTTTCTTGTCTTGTCTTGGCTTTACTTTTCTTTCTTTCATCTCTGTACTCAAGCTCCTTGTATCCTGGTGCAAAGAACCCCGTATCTTCTGGCGGCGCTGGCTCAAAGCTGAAGATTGCGATTGAAGGAATGACGCATCATGAACACCATCATCATCATCAAAGAATTGCTCTACGTTCCTCTTTTTCATCATACTTTCACAATATTCACGCATTAGCCATGCGCCGCCTCTTTTCACCAAACTGGTTCTCATCAACTCTTGGAAATTCTTCCACTTCTGGAATGACTGTGGGGTCTACAAATAGTGAAGTCAATAAGCTTCCAACTAGTCACCATTCTCCAACCATTGCCCGCTGCCATTGATTCCCCAACCATGTTCCATCAGCCTTCCACAGCGTAGTTCACCTTTGAACTGAAGATCACATTCTCTTGGAGCAGTACTTCACGCCCAAGGTCACGCAAGGAAATTTCAACGCTTTTCGCACTACCGGTGGGGATACGGTTCCCCTGCGCATCTTGTAGCCCGGTCTTTGTACTGAATTCCAACTCTCCTTCCCCGCGGTCTGCCATACTGAAAGGGAATAATGCAACATCAGCTCAACTGTCAATAACGATGCCCACATCTTCATTCTCTTCCCCAAATCTCCTCACTCTGAGTTCACCATCTGGGATGTCAGATTGCTCAAATTCCTGGATCCCTGGCCCATCATCATCATCTCCAACATAGAAGTGAATTACCCGCAAGTCAAAGATGATTGGCTCACTGCTCTCCATTCTCCTGACCGCTGGTTTGGTCTCTGCTGAGCTACTCTGCTGGCCAACACTGTCTTGTTGTTGACCAACTGTATGAGAAGTCACTGATGCTCCTCCTGGGCTGGATCACTTGCTACCTGTCGAATATTGTTCCTCCAACTGCCCTTCCACAAGTGTAGCATGTTGCCACACCTTTACCTGTTTGGTCTTTACCTTTGCCTTTGCCCTTCTGATCACCTTCTTGTCCTTTCTGACCTCCGTTTCCTTTCTTCCCTTTGCCTTTGGCATCCTTACCTTTGCTCTTTAGCTGGTCATTCTTGCCCTTGTTACCTTTTCCTTTGGCACCTTGGGCTCGACCAATGTCCATTGGCGTGGGTCTTTGACAGTCTGTACTGCTACTTGCCACCATGGAAGTAGCCCGCTTCTGCTGAGAACGATCCCATTCCAACACTTGTTCCCCCTCAAAGCTGGGTACTGAACATTGTCGCCAATTGTCAAGTTCAAGTATGATTTGAGCTGTCCACCTGCACATCTCAAAAGAATAGCAAGCTCCAACTCTTCTTGACTTGTAGTCCCTGCCTCGACCGTCTCATCAAATACTTCTTCAAGTGTCAAAAGTTGAGGTTGCAGTGCACTGTTCATTGAAAATGATGGCCACGGAGTGGCTGCTCCCCAAAAGCGCTAATCCCCTAGCCTTTGAAGTAGGTTTCAAAGCTTGGCTCAAACTCCTCCAGGCATCAAATCCATTGGAGTCCTCCACAGCTTTCACCAATTGTGGCGCTCTTCCCCTCAACAATGAAGCTAACAATCCAAAAAGCTTGATGCACAAGTTCTTCTCTGCCTCAGTTGCCACGTCCATGTCAAACTTATCAGTTCATTTTGCATGAATTTCGTTCAGGACCTTCATGTGCCCCTCATCAGCTGCGCTCAAAAACTTCTCAAATACCCATGACCACTCTCTGAATGCCTTTATCTTTTCTTCTTGCGACCTATAATCAAAGATGTTGGGCTTTGCTATCAATTTGTTGATGACTTCTTGTCTTCAACTGCTTTCTTCACCGCCTCAGCTGCTGATGTTGTTGCCAGCGTACTCTGTGCTATAGTTTGAAGGATTTCTCTGATCTCCTCCATCTCCACTGCATGCTCACGCCTTTCTGAAACCAAGGTGCGGTGTACAGAGCGTCGCTCACAACAGTTTATCACCAGTCCAGCTGTTTGGGTTCCAAAGGCCCCAAACCTATTGCTCGAAACCGCACCCAGGATCCCAGTGACCTAGGGGCTTTTCTTCCTGGAGCTCAAGGGGGGTTACCCTTATCCCTGCTCCGCTACCATGCGAACTGTTCTCTTGATCAAAAAGGGCTTCAGTCGAGTCAACTACACGGAGTGAAATGCTGATGATGTCATGTACATACTCTGTAGTCTGCACTGAAATGCTACACACGCATATATATATACAGTATATACATCCATCCAACCATGCTTGCAAACAATTTGTCAGAGGGTCCAAAGGCAGAGTGATTATAGAGAGACATAATTAAAGAATTTGCACAAGGGTCCAAAAACTGCGCGATTGTAGAGACACTTCTCTATATGATTCATCCACTTCATGCTGCGTTCATCTCTAAGTTTGGTGTCGAACATGCAAATTGTATGATTTATTGTCCATTCATGTACAGTATGTATATATTCATGTCATTCTCGGCATCCCTTGAAGTTGTGCATTTTCAGGATGTCCAAACTATATTGTTGGATATGACAACTTTGAATATAATTTGGGCTCCTGAAAAATGTACAATTTCAAGGGGCATCACTGGACAAGTTTTCCGTGGGTCCAAAAATAGAGTGATTATAGATAAATACTTCTTTAGTCTAGTCATCCACTTAATGCTGCATCTCTAAGTCTTGTTTAGATCACACGGTATATTCTTGTAAATATATAATTATTATATATATATATATATCTCTTCGACCCCTTGAAAATGTACAATTTCATGGGTCGAAAAATAGATCCAACAATGCATGCAAAATGCAAGTAAGACATAACTAAACACTGTTTCAAAGTGTCCAAAAATAGAGTGATGATAGATACTCTCTCTCTCTCTCTCAAAGCCACTGGTGCGGGCCGTTGTTGTCACGAAGCAACCAACCTGAATACTTACATCACCCTTCTTTGCCGACAGTCGGGGCGTTCTAAGAATCTGTGTCAACTGTCGAATGTCGCGCGGCCCCTGCGGAAAATCAGTTGTGTTCTTGCCACTGATTGTGGGAACACACATACCTCCTATACTGGCCCTGCACACGCGAAAACAATGTTGGCGATGAGGTTCTAACTCAAAAAAGCAAAAACGCCTGAAACCCGGGCTTTGAACACATTCGAAGTCGTGGACAAAACAAAGAGTTGTTCTTTGTGCAGGGGACCCGGTCAGCAATGATGTCTTGTTTCAGGAAAACTCCTGCCAATTCATACCCAATTCATTAATGTTATATAAACTGTTCGACTTGTCAGTTTGTCAAATAATGTGTTGGATCAAGTTGGATCCCCTGACAAGTACACAGCTCGGCTCAGAGCTTCTGCTTCTATCAGTCTTTGTACTTAGGCCGCGAACCCAATGTAGCGAAGCGAGTACTTGTTCTTCGTCTCACAATTGCCTGTTTGGATGTCCTGCAGGTGCGGCCACAAGAAGCCCGGCACTCTCATAGAACAATCCTGCCACAAATATGGCACAAGCGCATGCAAAATTTTTTGTGAACCCAGCAAAATGCGCTCTGAAACGCTTCAACATGCCCGTGTCATTCGACAGTGGTGTTGATTGTGTCCCAGGCAAAACTGCTTCAACAATCTTCAACAGAACCCAAGCCGTGCGAAAAGGAGTTCAAGTTTTTGGAGCTAGTTGCGTGCATCTTTCATCGTGCACAATGCCATGATAACCTTTGGAAGCCATTTTGCCAATGCCCCTTTTGGGCTATGAATTACAGCCCAAAGAAAGACTTCCTGTGGCTTCATCATCGAATTAGCTGCACAACTGTTCTCAAGAGTAGCCAAAACGATGTTTGACAAGCAAAAGCCATATTCAAAACGCCGTAGTAGGGTGCCTCGATTCCTATTTGTTTATATATCTACAGTATATATATAATTAAGAAACATTGATTTTAGTTTGGAGTTCATGAAAGTTCTCCGGTCAATCGCTCAGCTCCAATAGACTGCTCAGGTTACTGCTGTCAACCTGTTTGTGCGCACAAATGCCACAAGCTCGAAAAGAATGACTCTTGTTTCAATGACTCGCCAAACGATCCACTGCCAGTCAGGTAAAACTTCGAAGGCCATCAACACATTTTTTTGGTATCTTTCTGACATCGTCTGCTGCGGCCCCACATCGAAGCAAATGGAATCTGTTCCACTTGAAAGGTCTCCGAGCAGCACTAAGGTCCAAGGACATGGGGATAGGATTCACAGGAATGAAGCGGGTGCCTCCAAGCTGATCAGAATCATAGGTGAATTGTTCTTTTTGATGCTCATTTAAAAGAACAAGTAAGAAAGGTATGAAACAATGAATGGACGCTTTAATCAATTGCTCGGCCAGGCTAGCTGAGTGAGACAAGATGCCAATGAGTGCAGCAGTTTTGGGCATTTTCTGCAATTTTCCTCCAAGGCAGGCTCAGGGGTGAACGTTTAAGGTTAAGAGAATGCCATTTCTCCCAGGCCATATTTAATAGGAAAACAACTGCTGCAAGAGATCAAGCAGGTTCGAATAGGACGCCTGTCAGCTTGGCAGGATAGTCATCTTGAACGTACAGGGTTGCTTCAAAGGTTCGGGGAAATGCCATAATCTGCCTAGCCCTTGTCTTTGGTGACTTTGTAGAGTAAAAACAAGGCGAATTACAATGCATCACACAAATCTGATTATACTTTGCACTCCAGTCCTCGTAGATCTCCAAAGCATTTCGGCACAGATTGCCTCCAAGGGTCGTCTTCATGCGCTGAGAATGGCCAATCAATCATTGGCAAAAAACCAATTGCCTTCAAAGATAGAAACTCAAACCTATCTTTACACCACGCCTGTTTGATATTGCAACAGTCCGCGCCTAGGAAACTGTCCCAGCAAGACCGGCAAAGAGTTGGTTTGAACCTGAAGCAAAGCACAAAATACCTGGCGTCAAAATAAACAGATTTGCTGCGCTGGCCTCGGGAGGTGAGGTGATGGCAGCCTTCAAAGCAAAGTCTATCACGCGAGCACTTTATGAAAAATTTGAATTCGCCTCATGTTCTTCACCATGTCCCTCCACATGCTGCCGCTCTGGCCGAGTGGATTTAGGCCGACACCGCGGCCGCTCTTTGGGCGTGTCGGACCTCCAACAACAAACTGAAACAAGTGCTCCGTGATGCTCCGTGTATATACTGTTTTCCCCAAGCAGTGTGGACGCACTTAGAGGTTCTTACGGTCGAAGCAAAACAGCTGTGCTTAGATCGCTGTGCCGCGCGGGCGTGCGCGGCCAATTCGCTGCTATTTACAATACATTCATGCCTCTCGACATCGTCAATGTGCACTTCGACTGCGCAGGCTCGCGAAATCTGGGTAGCGGGGACGGGTGCGTGTCGCGACTGCGCTCTCGTTGCGGTGCCGTGCGCATTCGCACATGGCTCACTTTTCGTGGCAAGTGCAAGGGAAACCTCGTGTTTTGGTGGTCCAAAGTTGCCTTTTCGCGACAGGTGCAAGGGATCGGAGCTGTTTTGCTTCGATATGCAATTTTCGTGGCAGGTGCAGCACTTTGGACATGGTGGTGATCGTAGAGGAGCTCTGATTTCGTGATGCAGATTTTGTGGCGTGACCCTCAACGAGCAGAAGCAAGCACCTTCAGAAGAAAAGAACACATGCATACATACATACATACGTACATGGCTCAAGGCCACGAGCTGCTCAAGCAGGTAGCCAACAAAGACCTGCTGGTGCGTATCCCCCAGGCGCACATAGCCGGGAGAATCACAGCAAGAAGGGCCCAACCCGAACGACACCTACAAAACATTCTTTGCCCGCAATCCGCTCTTCACCATCCTCGCTTTGGCAGAGAATCACGGTGGCTGGCAATTGCTTGCCCTGGACATCAATCAGGTGATCCTTTTGAACTACCTCCTCACTCCTTCGGCCTCTACTACCACTTTGCCCGTGATCCCTACGAGATCCAGTACCTTCCAGGCCAGAACGAGGTCGGTGCCACAGCCATGCAGTGGGGACGAAACTACATGGTTTGCAAGAGCACCAAATGCTCAAACTGGATCTGGACAGATAAGGTCAGAGCAGGCACAAAGTGCCGGGACCTGGTGGCCACAAGAGACCAGCGCAGGCAAAGGAAAAGGTCAGGGACATGGACAACCACGAGACTACGGTCATGGCAAAACCCCCTGGCCACGCAGACAGTCAGGAGAGCAGCTTTTGGACGCACCCCCCGGCCTCACTAGACTTCGGCCACTCAAGAAGGACAAGGATCAGTCCACAGCAGCTGAACTCCTGGCAACGACCTGGGGCGTCATTCCAAAACCCATACAGACCAAGTTTTGGACCACCACTGCAGGAGGAACCTGAGCTCACTGAACTGCTCAAATCCCACACGACGGCCTTGCCACAAGCAGTACAAGATGTGGTGACAAAGCTCACGCAGCCCATCCCAAACACCGACAAAGCGCTTGCTCAGAAACTCAAGACCCAGGTCACCGAGTTGAAGACAGTGTCAATCAGGAAAACCCAGCTTCAGACCAAAATTGACCATGCCGGAAGAGCTGGATACCAGCAAGGATTTCCCCATCCCCATGGCTGTTGAGACCTTTGTATCCAGCCTGGGGATTGCGTTGACCGAAGAACAGAGATCCCAACTGCATGGGCTACTCAAACGCCCTAACGCAGACGAGGATGAGATCAACAAGCGACGGAAAACTGACGCCCAGACCGCACCACCAGGGGGACAGTGTGGGTAACAGGACATGCACAGTTGGAACCACACTCCAAGGGTACTTGGCGCCAATCCCTTTGGACGACTTTGAGGGATCACCAATGACACCGGTTTGCCGTGTTGCTTCAGGCTCAGCACAGGGACATGTTTTACCAGGTGCAGGGGAACAGACACCACAATTCATGACTGACCCTCTTTTTCAATCACATCAAGGGGACCTGTCCTGTTCTGGTGAAGGGGAAATCACCACACGGGACAACACGGCGTTTCAAACACCCATCAACAGATGGACCAATTTTGACAGGGGAGCCAAACCTGACCGAGCGCGGATGGACATCCTTGGGGAGCACCTGGATCAGAAGTGGTGATCATCAAAGGCGGCGGCATCCCGCCAGTCGAACAAGACCCAGACACTCTGGGCAAAACCAGGATGCAACAAACCTATGCATCCACAACTGAGTGCATCTCGCAGAACCTCTCAATGACGGTTGGCAATCCCAGTGCCAGGTGTTTTGCAAATGCCCCATGGAGGGCCTTCACCTTGACTTTTGCGCTGCTCCAAGAAACGCACACGCAGCCATGGGGCAATCTACATGAAGCAGTACAAGAATCCCTAGAACTTGCAGAAGCTGTTGATCTGCATCAACTCCCAGGACTACACAGCCTCTGGCAAAAGCACGACCTGAACGTACAAGGCAACGCCAACCATTTTGTGAACTCTCTCTGGAACCTGTCACAAAGCAGGGCTTTCCACTACAGGTTTGCAGAAATCCGACCCGGTAAATACTTAGTTGACCATGTGCAACAGCCCCTACTCATCGACTACCCAGACACCTGGCCAGAGAACAGCTCATTGCAAGACCTGGTCAACGGGTGGGCCAATGCTGGACTTGGCCAGTACCTCATGGGCGACAAGCCCATCCTGGTGGCACACATCACCAGGAATACCTGCATCAACGACGTCATGACCAAACACAAGAAGATACTCAACCCGCATGGGACCTTCACAGCACCAAGATCACTGGGTGGTTTTGCTCGAACCTCCTCTGAGTTCGCCCCGGCTGCCCTCATCTGTCACAGGGCCAAGCCATGAGACAGGGCACTATTTTGCCATCCTCATCTACACAAATCTCATGTGGCTTGCAGACGATGGAAAGCCACCAGTTCATTTGGCACACCTGACACCACAGTTAGCCAGCCAGATAACTCAAGTCTGGGCCGTCCACATATAGCGATCCCCAAAAAGATAGAAAAGTCGGATCCTGGAAAAGTTTAGGTCAATTTCCCATATCAGACAACTTTTCTATCTTTTGTTTCGTGCTTCTATTTACACAAAATTGTCAAAATCACACAACATGACCGATGTCACACGTGCACAATCTTGTGTAAATACCAGGGAGAAAAAAGATAGAAAAGTTACATCCTGGAAAATGTTAGCCGGCTTCAATCAACTTCAAGACAAATTGGGCCAAACGTGACAGATTTTACCGCAGATACCAGCACGATACAAAAGATAGAAAAGTTCAGATTATATAAAAATCTCATATTTCCCTGCTATTTGCACAGTCATGTTCACGTGTGACCACACTGCAAAACATTCGCTGCAAGCGCATCCGGATTCCCGTATATATACATATACCTTCATATACCCTCATTCTCGGTGTTTGCTGTTGGAAAGGGAGCGACGGGCGGAGGGTTGTTACCTATTTCACACACCTC